TCCTTATTAGGTCACGGTTTATTCACTTGATTTAACGATTTTATTACCATGCTTCGTTTAATTCCCACCCACAACCCTCGGCTTATTCGAAAAGAAACATACATTCAATGTCCCGTTTTAAGCACGTGGAACAGTGCCATACATGAGGCGATAAAACGCGTGCCGCATGCATGTTTGTTTGGTTATGTATAGATAAACGAAATCACTTATAAATGTCAATTAGATGGACATTGGACTTGAGAACAAGGCATATGCGGGTGGAACTGAAATAAGTATGAATATATTATTTCTCTGGAAACAACATTCAAGTGTCTTGCTCTACAATGTACTGTATTCGCTGACGTGCTGCCCCAGCAGCATCTCGTCGCGGCCGGAACTCCAGTGCAGTAGGGTTCAAATGTGTGTCATTGCAAGGTGTAAGGATGTTGGATTGGGCGTTTTATGAATCCTCTGCCTGCTCTCAATTTCGCTGCCCTAACAATGCCATCTCGTCCAATGAACAATTCTTCTACCACCCCATGGGCCACTGATTTCGGTCTCGCTCATCAGACTTAATGATAACAACGTCTCCTACGGACAAGCTGTTAGGTTTGGTGTTATGTTTCAGTTGATGCCTCCCTCTCTCAAAGCTCTAAGTTATTGCGTGGTCCATCGACACCACGTTGTGTCTTAGGTAGCTTTCAAGAATTTCGCACGTGTCCTCAAGTCACGGTCTTCATGACGATGTGGTTCGAGCTCAGGTAAAATGTTAGCATTCAGAAACAGTAAAGAGTTAGACGTTAGTGTAGGGAATTGCGGGTCATCCTCCACGTAACCAAGAGGTCGATGGTTTAGCGACACTTCGATGTCGAGGACTATCTCGCAAAGCTCGTCCCAGCTTAGAAGACCCTGACCCACCGACCTGTTGAATGAAGACTTGAATATTAGCAAATGAGTCTTTCGAAGTGCCCTCCCCACCATGGCGCCCGACTCACGTAAGAGGTCCTATGATCTTTTCGGAAGGGTGACCAGAAATGTGATTAAACCGCGAGATCCGTGTACAAATTCCCATGGCTTTACGCAAGCCGAACTTCTCGAGAAGAGTGTCAAAGTCATCGTTTGCTTCGAAATCGAGCGCGAAAAGTTCTCGCTGAACCTTCTCTGCATTACTGTTATCCGTCGCCTTTGTCACAATATCAGCAGGCCACAGAGATGGGTCGAACAACCACGGCGGACCGTTCCACCATTGCTCCGCTTCATTCACACTGCCGCCTCGACTTCCC